TATATTTTTACACTGATAAACTTCTGGCAAAATGTTTATTCATGTTCGGAACAACTTGACTAATGTTCGGAACAACTTGACTAATGTTCGGAACAACTTGACTAAAGTTCGGAACAACGTGACTCAGGATTGCACAACTTGACTCATGTTCGGAACAACGTGACTCAGGATTGGAACAACGTGACTCAGGATTGGAACAACGTGACTCAGGATTCCACCATTGTTGGTACCAGGCCCGTAGCCTGGATTTTTTTGAGGGGGGTTGGGGCAAGGGGGAAAAATTCTTCTGCGCCGAATTTTTGGAGCCAAAGGCGCCAAAAATTTTTATTTTCAGCGCCCCAGGCGAAAATTTTGAGAATTTTAGAAGCCCGTAGGCCAAAAAAATCACTTTTTTTAGCGCCGGAGGCGAAAATCTTCCCCCGTCCTTGGAACAAAAAAACTTCCCCCGTCCTTTGAACAACATCCCAAGTCATTTGAACAAAATCCACCGTCCTTGGAACAACATCCCAAGTCATTTGAACAAAATCCACCGTCCTTGGAACAACCTCCCAAGTCATTTGAACAAAATCCACCGTCCTTGGAACAACATCCCAAGTCATTTGAACAACATCCCCCGTCTTTGGAACAACATTCCCCGCTTCGCGCTCAACTGGACAGTTAACAAGGGGCGCTCAACTGGCCGCGCTCAACTGGCCCGGTCTCAACCGGCCCGCGCTCAACTGTCTTCGGTCTCAACCGCCCGGTCTCAACTGGCGGGGCTCAACCGGCCGCGCTCAACTGACCCCAACCGGCCTGAAAGCTTTTTTTCTAAAAAATTTTTTTTCAAATTAAAATTTTCAGAGAGTTAACTAGTCGACTTATTTCTTTATTTTTTGTGATTTTCTCTTCTATATTTAAATATTCTAAAAAATGCAAACTCTCGAGAAAATTGCGCATGCCCAAATGCCTTTTACTTCTGGCGGACAAACAATTACTGACAGATTTAATGCTGCCAAACATTCTTTGGCTGGTTCTCAATTAGGCAAAACTATTTGTAAGGCTACTACTGAGGAATTGATGGCACCAAAGAAGAAACATTTGGACTGTTGGTTTTTTTAAATAATTTTTTTATTTTTGCGGATAAATTTTGCGGATAAATTTTTGCTGATAACTTTTTATATTAATTTTGTGGGATTTTAAGAGCGTTCCCTAAGGTCATGGGTATTTTTAAAACCACTACGAATTAACCTAATTTTAAAAATTAATGTAAAAAAATTAATAGGTGATTCACCCATTTTATGATAACATTTTTTATTATTTGTCCGCAAATTTTTATAACAATTTTGTGGGATTTTTAAGAGCGTGCCCTATGGTCACGGGTATTTTTAAACCACAAGAAATTAACCTAATTTAAAAAATTTTTAATTCGTAAAAAAGACATTCATCATTTAAATTTTGTTTAGCTCTAAAATTAGGTCAAATTAATAGGTGATTTATTCCGAATTTGTCCGCAAATTCAAAATTAGCCAACAAAAAATTAACTTTTTAAAGACTTACTTCATTGCACTAATGAACCTAACGTTTCTATTCCATCAATGGCCAATTTATTAATTGAGAGGACTCAAAATCCAAATTGGATTGTTGTTTATAAAGTTTTCTCTGACTTTTTTTTTAAATTTAAAATTTATTTTTTGAAGGCTTTAATTACAATCCAAAATTTAATGTGTTATGGAAATGAGGTTTTTTTTAGAATTTTTAAATTAAATTTATTTTTTTTAATTTTTAAGCGTTTTTCTCAATATTTGGCTTCTTGTAATACAACATTTAATTTGACCAATTTTATGGACAAATCTTCTTTGGGAAGTGATGCTATAGCCGCAGGTTGAATTTTTTAATTTTTTAAAATAAGGGAAAGTCACGAACTTTGACTAAAAATTTAGTTAAACCTTTTCTTCTGTTTTATAGGGGATGGTTGATAGTTTACTGTCAAAATTGTTTTTTTGGTCCTCTCCCAAAAATGTATTGAGGTTCAAACTTTTGTCTTAAGTCTTTAAGACAAATTTCAGTCATCTCCTCACAGATAAGAGGAGATCATTTATTATTTATTATCCTTATCATCCCCATTTATTTCCTTATTAAAACTAAAAATTTAAATTAATTTTGGTTATTTCTTATACTTCCGACTTACCCTTTTTCATTAAATTTTTTTGAATTTATTTTTTAATTTAATCTGCTTATATCTCCTCAAATTTTAGGTTATGATATGGCAACACATGTTCGCCGTTATGGAAAATATATTTCTGAGAAAATCCATACTTACCGGCTCTGTGCTTTTGACTTTTGTAAAGTAAAACGGGGAAGGGATGATGGACTTTTGAGGACTTTATATACTGACAAATTACTTAAAACTATGCCTATTTTGCAATCGCAAATAGATGCTCTTTTGGAATTTCAAGTTTCTTTTATTTTTTTATTTTACGGGTATTCTTTTGTGGACAACTTCTAAAATTTTCGATAAAGTCTTTCTTTTTAGATCCGAAAATTTTGGAATCCTTTGAATGATAGTTGTGGGAATCCCGGTTCTCTAGTCCCTAGAAAAAAATTTCAAAACTTCAAAAATATCGAAAGAGAAATTCTCATTTTTTCTAGGGATCTGTTAAACCCACGTTTACCGGGGTCTCAAACTTCTCGTCTCTGGCAATTTTAGACAAAAGCGGATCTATCGGGTTTGGAACTTCTTTGGTTTAGAACTTATATTGTTTTTAACTGGGATTTTTTTGGATATTCAAATTTGAATTTATCATTTAAAAATTTAATTTTTTATTTTAAAGGTGACCAGTTCGGAATTAAATAATAGCGTAATTAATTGCTCTTTTATTTTGCTGTTTCGAGACTTGATTCGTTTATTTGCTTGTTATAATGATGGAATAATTAATTTATTGGAGAAATATTTTGATATGAATAAAAAACAATGTAAAGAGGCGCTGGATTTGTATAAGGCTTTTTTGGTTATTTTTTTTTAATTTTTTTAATTTTATTTTTGATGGATTTTGAGACGTTTGACCTTTCTGCGGCGTTAAAATTATCTTTAATTATTTTTTTTATTTTTTCAGAATCGTTTAGACAAAGTCCAAGCATTTCTCACAATTGCTGAATCTGCAGGAATTGAACGTGGTGAAGTTCCTGATTTGACTCGAGCTCCAGCTTCTTTGTTAGAAGCATTAGAAGCTCATTTATTTCATTTGGGAGGTGGACGTGGAGCTCAACTGCCAACTTTATCTCAATCTTCGGCTCAACAAGTTTTTTTAAATTTTTTTTGAATTCCGTAAAGTCGGTAACATCTATCCGGAGAATATTCGACACATTAAAAATCATAAAGAGAAAAAATTTTGAAGACATAAAATTTTAGAACTTACAAGAAAATCTGTATTTTATCAATACAGCAAATTGTCAGAGTTTTGTATAAATAAAAATAGAGATTTTTTGTAAGTTCACCCTTCGAACACATTTCATCTTTTTTATTTTTATTTTGGATATATTTCTCGAAAAAACTTCTACTACTTTTCCAATTATTTTTTTAAACGTCAAGAATCCCAGTTATACTATTCGGCGGGGACATAATTAGTGTCCCCACCGATATATAATTAAAAATATTAAACTCTAATATTTTTCTCTTAATTTATATATCATTTTAAAGCTTAAAAAGTCCGCTTTCATTTTATACTTATTTTCGGATAGAAGTTTCATACTTCTTTCCGTTATCAATCAAATAATAATTATTTTTAAAAGATTGTTTCTCAACAAATTTGTTCTGCCCAACAAATTTATTCAAATCAATCCCAATATCCATCCTATCAAGATTATAGTGTAGACGAATCTGTTAAACAGCGTTATTTGGAAGAAGAAAAGGAGCGTTTACGTCAATATGAGGAACAAAGACGTATTCAACTTCAACAACAAGGAGGTTTTTATTTAAAAATTTTTGGGGCTTTTTATTCTCCGTTCGTGGAGATTTATTTGGAAAAATTCCAAAATTGGGTGAATTTACACTTTTTAAAGTGAAGGGAAAGTACTTCCAGTTACTGGAAGTAAAAAATACTTCCAATTATTTTCTCTGACTCCAAAAAATATTTCTGTGATTTTCTGACTAATTTAATTTGTTATTAAATTTTCTAAATTTTTTTGAAAAATAAATAAATTAAAAAATACCCCCATATTTTGTCTAATATTTTCTAAAAAAAAATATTTTTATTTTTTAAAGTTCCAACATCGTCTGGTCCATTAATTGACACAAACAATCCTTTTGGTGGAGGATTTTCTTCAACTCCTTTACAACAACAATTTCCAATTGCTTCCGATCTTCTTATGTTTGATACTCCACCAAAAGGGAATGAGGGAGGAGGAGGAATTTTATCTAGTAGACAACAAGATTTGGATTCTACCAATCCTTTTGCTATGGTGGCTGAATTAAATAATCGAACCCAGCCAGGTTTTTTTTCTTAATTTATCAAAATTAGGCTAAGAATAAATTTAAAAAAATTTTCAAAATTTTTTGAGAGGGCTACCTTTCAATTTTTTCTTTTAAAAATTAAAAATATTTGTCAAAAAAATTTGCTTCCCCATGCCGGACTCGAACCGGCGACATCTGCATGTCATATTGCTTATAAGTACAGCGCTCTAACCGACTGAGCTAATGGGGAATACATGGGAAAATTCTAAATTACCTCTTTTAATTCATTCGGATAGACTCTCTTTCGAGACATTTTTATTTTTAATAATGCTCTCGTCTTCATTATTTGCGTTTAATCGAGAAAAAAAATTATATTTGTTTACTAATAAAATTAATAGACAAAAGAGAAATTAAAATTTTATTTTTAAATTTAAATAAATATTAAAAAATATATTTTGTAAATTTTGGGGGTTTTTTGAAAATTTTTTGAGGGAAAAATGGGGGAAAATAATTTATTTTTAGGCTAGAAAAATAAAAAAAATTTTTTTTTAATATTTAAAATAATTTTCAGTTCATTCAACACCATTTAATGGAGGAGCACCTCCACCTTTAGACAATCCATTTTTGAATTATCCACCCCAACCTCCATTAGTTCCTCCAATGATGGCTCCAAATCCTTTTGGTGGTCAAATATATCCTGGACAACAACAAAATATTAATAATATGACTTCTACTACACCTTATTGGACTCCGCAAATGCAACAAATGGGTGGGGGAGGAATGTATCCACAATTTGGTAAAAAAATAATTTTTTTTTTTTGAAATTTTGGGTTATAATTTTCCTTGTGGATTTTCCTTTAAGTATTGATTTTAACTTTCCAAAAACTCCTTTTGACCCCCATCAGGGGTGGGCGCAAGAGACAATTTCAAAAAACGCAAAACGCAACGCAAGGCCAAAAATCAACGCAAAACGCAAAAAACGCAAGAACGCAAAATTGTCAAAAAATTTTTTTAAATTAATTATTAGCTATTTTTCAGTTAAAATTGAAGTATTACATTAAGTCAGTGAGTCATACTCGATTTTTTGATGCATGTAAGTTAGATGGGTAATGATTTGGATTAATATCGGGGATACTAGGGGATTATGAAGGATATCAGAGGATTTAGAGTGATAAAGGGACTATTGGGGTTGGTAAATTATAGGGGGATAATAGTAGCGGGGGATACGGAGATTATCATGTTTTTTGGAGAGTCAAAAAGATACCATGGGATTATCGAAGGATGTCGGCTGAGTTGGGGAATAGCGAGGATAAAGGCCTATCAGTAGATCTGAGCTCAATCGATAGCCTACTTAATTCACAAAAACCATTAATATTTTCTGGGAATTGATGGATTTCCATATAACCCTACAAATCGCCTATACCTCTTAAATCCAACTTAGTCCAGTAAATCGACCCGTATTCTTCTGTCCCTTCAGGTCAACTTAACTTTCCCTTAACCGCTCTTAACCTTTCTTCATTTTTTGCGCCGCAATTTTGAGAATTTTCAAAAGCCAGGAGCCAGATTTCTTCAATTTCTGGGCCGCAGGCGAAAATTTTGAGAATTTTGGAAGACTAAGTCATTATATTTCTTCTTTTTCCAGCGCCGCAGGCGAAAATTTTGAAAATTTTGGAAGGCAAAGACGCCAGATCTTTTCAATTTTGCCCTCAGATTGTGTATATTTTTTGCGTTTTTTTGCGTTAATTTGGGCCAAATTTACGCAAAACGCAAAACGCAACGCAAGGCCAAAAATCAACGCAAAATGCAAAAAACGCAATGCGCCCACCCCTGACCCCCATTTTTTCAATAATTTATAAATAATTTTGTTTTTAGGTGTCAATTCAACTACTGCTGGTTATACAACTGAACAACCTTCTTCAATTCCTCAACAACAACAACCACCTCAACGTCCACCATTACCACCCCAACAACCACCAATAAATAACGGAATACAAAAAACTGAGGCAGAAACATTTTCTCATTTAGTTGGAAATTTTGGGATTCCTTCTACAACAACAACTTCTGGTTTTGCTCCATCCTTTACACAAGCAAATAATAGCAGCAATCCGTTTGGGGGTTAGTTTTTTAATTTAAGAATAATAAAGGTTAACTCGAAATTTATATTGTACACGTCGGTTGTAGAGTACGGGATCCTGTCGGTTTGTTCTCTGTTTTATAGGAACATTTCAAACGAGCATATATATTTTTGAATAGGCTTGTAAGTTCTTGAAAAATCTTAGGATATCCGGAACAGAACTAATCTATAATTTTTTCTGTTTGATTTCGTATCACCAATTCTAATTTTAAGTGTTGGTTTATATAACCCTCTACAAAAAATAAATAGACGAGGAAATTCTTTAAATTTTAATTGTCTTCAAAATTTCCAATTTCGAAAATTCAAATATTTTTTTCTGCAAAAAATTCTATGTAGTAAAATCCAAATTCTCTACAATTAATTTATTCCTCTTAATTTGACTGCCCAATTTGATATTTTGATTTTATTTTTAATTTCAAATTTTTTTAATTCAGCACCGGTGACTTATCCATCTACCAATCCATTTTAAAAGAGAGAGATAATTATTATTGTTTGAAGTATATAATTAATCAATAAAATTTAAAGGAAGAACAAGTAAAATTCAAATTGACCATAAATATATATTTTATTTTTTTATTAAATTTATTTGTTCAGAATATTTTTTGGAAATTGGAAATTGACAAAGAAAACATGCAACTTATTTTACTATTTTTAATTATTTTACAGTTTTTATTTGTCAACAGATCAATTTTCTTATTTGACATTTTCTCCTTTTTTCTAAACTTTATTTTTGTAATTCCCTTTATTTTCTATACTATTTAGAGATCGCAATATTTTTGGAATTTAGTAGATTTCCTTTATTTTTTATGGGAGGGTAAATGCTTGGTTAAATTACTGTCCCGATCCTTAGTTGGGGGAAAATTTTGGACTAATACTTTTTTTTTTGTTAATTTGTAGTTGACTCTGGTTACTAGAGATCGAGATTTTCAAGAAACCTTGATCCTTGACCTTGATTTCGGTTGGGTACCTTGACCAGATTCTATCAAGGAACACTGAAAAATGCCTTGATCTGGACTCTGGATCCAGGAAAAAGCAAGGTCTGCTGATCCAGCCCGCTCTCTACTGGTTACCTTAAATTCCAAAATCATTTTTCTTGTGTTGATACTATTTTTGGAATAAATCTTCATAATTTGAAATTTCCTAAAGAGAGATGATATTATATCCCATTGATAACTGGAGTCAACAATATATTTAATTTCAAAATTCAATAACTAAAATTTCCGGTCTCTTTTCTCTTCAAATATATTCTACTACATAATTGTAATTTTGACCCTAAAAATTAAATTTTTATTTTTCGCCCAATCTGACATCTTTTTGTGTGTATTCTTCTTTACCTTTATTTCCTTGACTTAATTTGTTTAGTAAATTGAATTAGAGATTTTCTTAAATTTAAAAAATAAATAAAGAGTTGTTTTTAAATAATTGATAATTAGTCTGGATTTTGAGACTATTAAAATTTCCGGTCTCTAAGTTTGTCGGTTTTAGTTTTTCGATTTTTAAAAAATCTCAGGATATCCGAACACAACCAATCCTCAATTTTTTCAGTTTGTTTCCAAATCGACAACCATAATTTTAGTGTTGGTTTATACATATAATCCCTACAAAAATAACTAGACGAGTTTATTGATACATCGATTCCTGAGAATTGATGTCAATGAAATACGCAGGAAGAGTGATTGGTTCAAGACACTCACAAATCGGGGTTTTTCCAAAGCAAAGAGGACAAGGATTTTTCGGTTTAAGTTTCTGATATTCGAAGATTTTCTAAGAAAAGGTCACCTTATTCATAAACCTTAATCCAGCTCTATACTTTAATTGTTTTTGTATTTTATAAAAATATTTTTAACAAATAAATTCTTAGCCTGCTTGTTGTTTATACTTCTACTTAAAAAATAATTTTTAAAATTTTTGTTTGTTAAAATATTTTTTTGAATAAAGTTTCAAATTTTAGTTGAGAAAATAAAATTATTGAATACCTGCCTAATTAAGAGGAAAAAAATTTTTTTAAATAAAAATAGTTTTTGAAAGAAAAAATAAATTTATTAAAGAATTAACGATAAATTGGACTGCGCAAGTATTTGTTTATTTAAAACTCTGTTGACAACTTCCTCTTTTATTTTTTTCTGAATTTTTATTTAAATTTTCTTTTATTTGGCTCAAAAATTATTTTTTTTTCTTATACTTAGGACTACCCAAAAAAAAAATCAAAAAATACTACAAATTTTTAGCGTTTTCAAAAAACATTAAGGTTAAAGAGATATGTATGCTTAAAAAAGTAGATCGGAAGCAGGCCAACCGCCGTGCTATAATTTCATTCAATGTGGTTCGATGCGTCTTGACGAGCTGAATCGAACCAACTAGGGCGTCCCGAATTCAACCATTTTGACCCAAGTTATAGCTCTGCGGTACATTTGGGTGTATCTAAAGTAGATTAAATTGGATATAGGTATATTTATCAAATGCGAATCTAGCTACATACAACAATTCTCAAGAACTCTTTAAAAAATAGCTAAAAGCTCAATAATTTTTTTTAAAATTTGTTCCTCTTATTAGTAGGGATCGGATTTATATTGAAATAAAATCGGAAAATATGGCCATAAAATATTGAAATAAAATGGCAAAATATTGACAAAAAATGGCAGAAATAAGCGAAATATTGAAATAAATCATCGTTTATTCACTAGCAAAACCCAAAAAAAAGTTGAAATTTAACAAAAAAATTTATCTCATTCTTAAAATTGCACATCAGCTTTATAGTTCGACACGAAATGAGTATTTTTACACTCTCAGACATTTTGAGATTGGCAAAGTATGTTGTTACCTTTTGGGTTTTGCTCAATATGTCATTTTGAGGGTTTTGATCAGTGGGACATTTGAAGGCGGAACAACAATTTGGGACGGCCTTTATGGGGATTTTTGTTCAGTTACTTATTCCGAGTTTTTGTTAATTGAGAAATTTGGGGGAGGGCGACTTTCAAATAAGGGCTGGTCGCCATTCCATCGTATAATTATCGGAAGTCAACGGCACTGTAGTGAATAATAGTACATAATATCACTTTTTCAGCGCCGCAGGCGAAAATTTTGAGAATTTTGGTTGTCAGGCGGCTAGATTTCATCTATTTTTCTTAAAATTAATGAAAAAACCGCAAAATTTTAGTAAAAATATGCAAAAATATTGAAATAATTTGAAAAAAGTACTAAATATTGAAATAATGAGGAAATTGGTAAAATATTGAAATATATTGAAATGTAACTTCGTTCAAAATCACAATATCGCAAAACTAATGGCATATTTGGGCTTTTCTCAACATAATATATTCAGGAAAAAAAAATATATTTCAATACAAATCCGATCCCTACTTATTAGTTATTTTAATTTTTAAACTCCTTCCTCTCCCGTTTCAATATTAACTACCAACTCTTAAATAAAAAAGGTTAAACAGTAGCCTTATTGACACTCTTATTTAAAAAGATTGTTGCCATTTAAAAATCAACAACCAACCAGTAGTGAGTATATAAAAAATATTTTTTAGTCAATGCTTTTTTGATGATTCAACCAAGTTACTTTAAAAGGTTTTCTTCATTATTCTTCATTTTACTAACTAAAAACTAATTCCAATCCCAATCATCCTCATTCGTTATATACATATACTTTTCCAAACATTTAGTATATATAAATATTATTTTCAACAAAAAACTGCTATTTTAAGGGAAAATATAATAAATATAGTAGGCTTTGGGAACTTCCGTTACTTGAGCAAAAGTTTTAGAACCGTGGCATCACGTTATTTCAGAATGATCCCTGTCTTACAATATTAAATTGTAAATAGCATTTTAGGATCTCATACGGACCACTCCACATTGCTAATCTCTCTTAGACCTGGACAATCAAAATTTCGAATATTTTAATTAATTCTTCTGAGGCAGTATGCAAAAAACAGGTATAAGAACCCGGTACTTTTTCCCCCAAAAATGAACGAACCTACAACTTAAATAAATTTCTGGAAAAGGGAATTGAGAAATTGACCGAAAAAATAAAGTTAGTTAACTCAATCTCGATATTGTTCTGTATATTAAAATTGTCATACCCCGCCCAAACTAACTTATTTTCGAGCCTATCAAAAATTACTTAATTTATTACTACTTTATTTGTTTCCAAAAATAATTTACTGTAAAATAAATTATTCGAGAAAGAAAAAAATAATAATAAATAATAAAAAATAAATATTTATAAATCCTCTCCAAAAAATATATATTTAATTATTTACAGTCTGAAATTTTTTATAGAATTTTTGTACAATTAAACAATAGCTGGCCGATCATTTAATAAAAACAAAAACAATCGAGAAAGGGAGAGACTTTTCTTTTAAAAATACAAATAAATATCTATTACTTACCTATATTTTTCCTTTAAAATATTTTTGCCTGCCGTCAAAATAATTACTATTTTTCTTTTCCAAAATTTCCCGCTTTGTTTGCGCAATTGTCTTTTTTATTTTTTACTAAAAATATTTAATAAAACAATACAAATATATTTTACAGTTATAAATATATAAATGTACAAATTAAACTTGATTCAAAACAAATGTTTTGGAAAAAAGGTTTAAATAAAAGCTTTTTTCAACATTTAAAATATTGTTGTTTTAATCGTTAAAAACATATTATAAAACAAGTTTAATTTTTTAAATTTTAAGGTTTATTAAAAACATTTATTAAACTTGTTTCTGAACAAGTTTTATTCCAAGTTTATTTTAATGTTTATTGAAATTATTTAACGAACATATTTTATTAAAAATGTGGGACACGCCCGAAATGTCGCGCGGCCATAATGTCGCCAAGCCATAACTTGCTTTAAGATTTCCGAATCTTTCCAAATTTAGTATTAAACGATTCCTCTCATCGAGCTAAAGAGATTGGTACCAAAATTGATAAGGGCCAGAAATTTTTTAGCAAGTTATGGCTTGGCGACATTATGGCCGCGCGACATTTCGGGCTGTACCCTAAAAATGTCATGCAAGTTTGCTGCAATTTTATTTAGAACATGTTTATTATAATTTTATTTTAATGTTCATTCTAAGTTTCTTTGAAATTTATGAAGTAACCTATTTCTTTTAGTTTATGGCATCATAATTCCATTTTTTATTATTTTCAAAAAATTTAAAAATTTTTCAAAATATTTAAGAGTCAATACAAAGTTTTGTTTTATTTTTTTCGTAAACAAATAAAAACATTTTTGGCACTTTTCTCCCTTCCTTCCTTTAAATGTCCACCTATAATATAAATTTCATTGAATAAAACGAAATTCGATCCATTTACTAAAAACGACGAGAAAATATAAAAGGCGTCAATGGTGTCCTCATAGCTTTTTTTGTTTTAAAATGTTAAATTCAGCATTTTCTATTTTAATATAAATGGTCAAAAACAAGTTTGTTTCTTGTTTTTATAAATGTTTTAGAAACAAGTTTATTTTATTTTAAAGTTGCTTTTCTTTTTCTCTCACCTTCTCTTATTTTAAGTACAGTATACTAGCTTTCTATTAAACTTTCTTTTAAGCATGTTTTTAAACTTGTTTGTTTTCAAGTTTATTTTAATGTTTATCCGAACATGTTTTAAGTTCAATTTTTAATAAACATGTTTGTGAGATGTTTTTTCTATTTAATGTTTCTAAACATGTTTTTATAACTTGACAACTTATTCATCTTTTTCTCTACCTTTCTCTCTTATATTTATTATTGTCTCTAAATATTCTAAATCAATTTTACCCATTTTCTCAGAATTTTTGTCCAATTTTAATTATTCAAAACGAGCATTTTCCTCATTTTTTCAATATAAATAGCTTCTCTAAAATTGGAATTTATATATTTTTTAGAAAAAAATTAAAATTGAGGCAGAATGCGTGTAGAAAAAGAAAAGAAAAGCCTTCTTTTTAAAGGTTTTCTCCCAACATTTTTATTATTATTATTTTGGTAGTAGTTGGGGGAAGGGAA